CCCCCGCCCCCAGATGCTCTCTGGCCATCCCCAAGCACACAACCTGCTTAGGGGAACCCCGTAGGGGGCAAGGGGGGAAGCGCTCGGACTGCCCATGCTTGTACCGGTCAAGTGCCGATGGACTGTTCCAGAGTGCTGGCGTCCCGGCGCGCGAAGCCCCTCCCAGCGCACGGTTACACCCCTCGTGGAAAAGCCACTTGGCCGCGCTGCTCTGGCGCTGCCCAGGGTCATGCAGACACCCCCGGAGCAGCAGACACACATGCGCATCGACAAACAAAGGGGCAGAGAGCATACTGTACAGGTTCGTATATTTGGAGAAAAAGGGGAGGGAGGGAGGGGGGCACAGGAGAGCAGGCAACTGTGAGAGGGAAGTGCGGTGAGAAGTACAGCGACATCCAGCACCGTGTGCTGCACGCGCTTGCTCCCACCATGCTTGCGGTCGGGTGTGTGTCTCCACACCCGCCCCCGAGCCGCCCTCCAAGAGCCTCGCAGGCCCCGTTTCCGGAACGAACGCCGTGGGCTGACTCTGACCGGGAAAGGAGGTGTGTGCGGGAGGGTGGTGCCGGGGGGGGGGGGAGATGGAGGGATGGGCAAAGGGGCGAGGAGAGGAACACACGCGAGCAGACCTGGGCGGTACATGCTCAGGTGCTCTCTAGTCGAGCTTCTTGGCCTGCTTGGCGTCGGCGGCCCGCTGGGCGCGCTTCTCGGCCTTGTAGGCGTTGTAGTGCTTGTCAGTGCCGAAGATCCAGTCGCACCAGCGGAAGGAGGCGCCGAAGTTGCCGGTGTACACGGCATGGTGGTGGTCGTGGAAGTCGGCACCGGCCCAGAAGGGCACGAAGTGGCGCAGAGAGAAGGGGAAGTCGTAGCCGCTGTGGGCATCGATCACCTGCATGACACGGAAGAACAGGAACCACAGCAGGGTGACGATGTGCAGGTCATGGGCGAAGAGAATCGGGCCGAGCAGGGTACCGAAGCCGAGGGTCAGGGTCTCCAGGGGGTGGGCGTACTCGCCAGCCAGGCCGAAGGGAGCCTGGAACTCGTGGTGCATCTTGTGGATGTGGCGATACAGGGGACCCCAGTGCATCAGACGGTGGGTCCAGTACTCCCAGAAGTCCTCGATGACCAGGAAGATGAAGGACTGGTAGAGGACCTTGTACCACACGGGGAAGGGAGAGCGGATCTCGAAGCCGAGGTACTTGATGCCGGGGTGCAGCATCATGATCATGGGGAGCTGCACGAAGATGTGGCTGAAGAGGATACCCTTAAGGCACTTCCACTTCTGAGCAGAGGTGGTCTCCTTGTCGGCCTGCATGGCGGCGTGGGCACAAGGGGGGGGGGAGAGAGATAGGCAGGAGAGGGGGGGGGGGAGTCAGCAACAGTGGGCGGGGGGTGGCGGAGGGGACAGGGAGGGCAGGCATACCTGGATCTTGTACTTCTTCATCGAGGGGAAGAAGTCCAGCAGGTAGAAGGGAAGGTAGCGACCGAAGTAGAAGATCTCGTGCGCGAAGAAGGACACCGCCGTGATGAAGAGGTACTCGTTGTGGTTGTCCAGCTGGTTGTCCCACAGGGTCTCAGTAGCCGAGACCAGCGTGTTCCAGTGCTGGCCAAGGCCAGAGAGCAGCTCAAGGGCCATGGTGAGGAGGGGGGGGGAGGGAGTGACGGCGGGGGCTGGGAAGACACGCGCGCTGACACGGAGGGGGAGGGGGGGTGGGAGGGGGCGGAGCGGCTCTATAAGGGTGCGCTCGCGGGGAGAGATGCTCTCGGCGCGATGTCGGAGGCCGCCGACGGGGGGGCTGTTAAAGGGGGCAAACTCGACGTTCTCCTGGGCCAAGAGGCGGGAAGCGGGGGAGCCCGGCGCACTCGCACCCCGGCACCCCTGCACCCCTGCACCCCTGCACCCCGGCTCCCTGGCTCCCCAACCTGCGCCGCACATGCCAGCCAGGCCGTTTGTCCCCGGGCACAAACCGGCCTCCCTCCCGGCCCTGCCCCCCCCCCACACACACAGCTGCTCGGTGCACACATTCAGCCCTGGCTGGAGGAACCACCGTCTTCGAGGAGGGGAGCCGGGGGG